ATCAGTTACATCAAAAGTAAATCCAATAATGCCATCGGAAATACTTGCCAGTTCGTTAGTGCTAAAAAAAGTACTACTTCTCAAATGTTGGCTTTCTATTCTCTTCAAATGTTTTGAATATTTTGTACGGATTGTTGTTTGCTTCATTCATGCCCTGAAAAAAGTTCAGTGTCATTAATCACAAAATTATTATTATTCTTTATTTCCAAAATAAGAAGATATCTGAGTAGTAGCAATACTGGATAAAGTAGCACAAGAATAATAAATAATATTATTAAGCAATTTATAAGTTAAGTTAACAAAATAAATAAAATTCATCATCATCAGTGTTTAGAACTATTTAATACACTTTTAAATGGCATCTGAGCTTGCAAGAATTGAAGAATCGAAAGTTGATTTCTAGCAGCAAAGTTGCTGATCTGAATGCAGAGATTTTATATTTATTTTCAATTGAACATATGTGATTTATGAATTTTTAAAAAAAATTGCTTGCTGGGACCATCCTCATTTGAAATGACTGGATGAAGTAAATTCGGAAGAAAAATTGGAAAAAAATGAAATGACCTGGAAGAACTTGTCATTTCAGGTCACGGTCTAATTAGTGAGCAGTGTTCTCAACTAGCAGTTGCATGTCGAGTTCGCATAGAAAATGATGCCGTTATGTGGTACACCTCAAAATTATATGATCGAAACCAGTTGGCTTGCATGATGAGAAATGAGTATGGTACAACAGGTGATAATTTTTTAATTTTTTTTTATTCCACGCGGTATTACGTGATGATTGCATTTGTCACTAAAATTAACTCCTATTTTTGCATTATTACCTTTTGTATGTATTAAACGTAGCTTATTTTGATTCCAAAAAATGTAGTGAAAGAATATAATTATTGTGTAGATATTTATTTGACTTCTTGAAGAAATCAAACAACTGCCATGAGGTGAAAAATTTATCGTAGGGAAATATCTCTGTATTTAGTCAAGAAAGAATATTTAAATTCTGTTCCGAAAACTTTTTTCACCACTTTGAACAATTAATTCAAAAGTACTTTAATCTGAAAATTCAATCAAAAAATTATCAACTGCAATGTTTTTAAATCAAATGAATCCTCGTATTAGAATGGCAAAAATTTTGATCTATCCATTTTCGAAAACTAACTTTTAAAACAGGCAAACCAATATCGTGCATGCTGCTCTAGTATAAATCACAGAAACTAAATATTAAATTAATTGTTATCATTTTCTATCTTTAATATTATAATTATCACCCAAATGATATCTGTGCTCATGTTATCGTCTTAATTTGTGACATTTTTCTTGATATCACCTGGTTTGTTCTTCTCTACTTTTTGTTGTAGTATTCTTACAACAGCACTTCGAAATAATTATTCTTATCTCTATCATTGTTATTATTATTTAAAGAAATGGTGAAAAATCCGTAAAATAATCTGTTATATGCACGATATTGGTAAAAATTTGGAAATAAATTATAGTTGCAGGAAGAAAGAATTTGACTTGTATTTATGTGTTTTCACAAATAGATAACCATCTTTGGCTGTGAAATTACTGGAGGTGGAAATGCAAGCAAACACTTTTTCACCTAAAAAACTATCAAAAAATTAATTTCTGCTGAGAATGTCCAAAAATGTCAGTGATCAGTAGCAACATTTATCTCAAATATGTGATGCACCTTTTTTTCGTGAGAAAGTATTTTAAATAATTTTTCCCACAAATGCTATTCAGAGAAAAAGAATTGAAATTATTGCTTAAAATGCTTTAGTTAAAATGGTCAAGCAAGACAAAAGGCTATTTTAAAAATATTTAAGTGTGAATATTCACTCATTAAGTGTTTCAGATCGATCAGGTTGCAAGAAAAGGCCATCCGGAAGTATTCGATGCTGGTGTTATGGTCAGAGTAATTGTAACAATCCCGAAAATATGGTTCGATTATATGAAGCCTTCAAGTTCAATGATGCAGATGTGTTAGATGAAGTTATCGATGATATTGAAACTTCAGGTACATTTTGTTAGTTTATTTCATAAAACTATTAATATTTTATGCATTATTGAAAAAATTTTGGTGACTTCTCATGCGCAGATGGTAACTAACACTGAAGTTTAGATTTCTCCATTTCTGATGATATTCAGATTCTTTGAAAACTAAAAGAATTTCAGAATTTCTTTGTGTTCCTCAAAAATCTCATTTTGATCTTTCATTTGCTTTGAAAAGTCAGTAGTACAATGAACGGTGAAGAAAAAATTGCAATAAAATTATTTTTGCATTGTCTTTGTTAGATTAGCATCTATGTAAAGGAGTAAAATAATTACATGCAAATACTTAATTTGCATAAATGCAGTTGATTTAAAAGTATTTTCAAGTTGTAGTAGGAGTGTAAAATGCAAAAAAAAACAGCATAGTACTTTTTGTTTGGCTTTGTGGAAGAAATGTGTTTTTTTTTGAATTTTTTGTCTCGTTAAAAAAGAGGAATGTTTTTCGGTATGTGTCAGTAAGGCAGCTAAATAGTACAACTTATTGCAAGGCATGAATGATTAATGTAACACAAAGCAAAAGTACTGTAAATCACGATTTTGTAGACAGTAATGATTATGAAGAATATGAAGAGACAAAAAAAAGTTTAAAAATAACAAGCTCTGTAAGAAGCCGACTTTCCAAGTCAAGCACTGCCAGTAGTAATTCGAGTCTTAGAATCCGCGGCAAGACTGTGCCCAACCAGCTAACTGCATCTTCAACGCAAAAAGGTACTAGAAGTAAAAATTTAGCTCAACTCTATATATATATATATATATATATATATATATAT